AATACAATGGGGGCTTCCTCAAACAGCCATTCTCTTTCCCGACAATCCCCTCTGCTGCACGAACCCCTTACCATATGCTAATGTAAACATTAAAACACCGCGGATCTTATAGGTCCAGTGCGGCTTATATGTACACATCATTCAATTTAGCTGCTGCGGCTTATATTCAGGTGCGCCTTATAGTCCGCAAAATTTACGGATACATATAAATAGAATATGAAATGTACAAATGAGGTCATCTAAAGGAAGCAGAGTATTCCACAAGGCGAAATATTCGAGACTAACTGATTTTTATACAGGGTTCGATACACTTTTCCACCAATGATTTTCAATGGACTTCTCCATGACCTTTACCTAATTTTCCATGTTGACCAAAGAAATTACTCTTTTCTCAGCGGTACACTGGAAATGGTTTATTTAAACATGGAACAGGAAAAATAAGGTCTGAACATGTTGTGGCCTCTCTTAAAACAAATTAGGCTTACTAGCTTCTACACGCTAAAGAAAAGAACATCTCACCAGCCAAAACACCTCGTCAGTTAAAAGCCATTTTACGTTTCATTAACTATACGATACAGTATAATTATCAATTATAGTATCAATATTTGCAGCCATTTAGATACAACTTTAGTTTAACATTTCCATGACCTTTTCCAAAAACTTTGGGAACAATATGGTTTTCCATAAACTTTTTCAGGTCCTGGAATTACATTTTGAATTTCCATGACGTTTCCAGGTTTTTAGATGACCGTAAGAAACTCCTGTTATAGTTTGTAGGCCTGCTTTATTGTCATGTCTTGTCATGTCTGTAGAGACTGAAGCAAACTTTAGTTCATTTTTAAAGAGAATTTGATTAAAGAAATAACAAAACAAAAGGGTTTTTAGATTTGAAAGAAATGATTCAAATGTCACAGAAGTTTGACCAGCTGCCACATTTACACGAGTGCTATTTACTATGCTACAATAACCACATCTGACTAACTAAATGCTATTCTGGGGTGACACTTGAGAGATAACCAAGTAGTGACACGTTAAAACAGCAGGTAAACATCTCAAACTGTTCCATTTTACAAGCTTCAAAATATGGTCAACCCCCCCCATCATCCCCTGCTGCTGACCTCTGAACTCGAGCCCTCTCAGTTGGAAGGTGATCAGGCCGTTTCCGATCTCGATGATGTGCACCAGAGCGTTGAGGTAGTCTGAGGCGAGGATGAAGCAGTCGCCTGTGGTGTAGTTCCCCCAGCGGCCGAGCAGCAGGTCTCCACACAGGCTGTGCTGCAGGGAGCGCGTCAGGTGCTCGTAGAAAATAGAGTTCAGATTGTTGTCGTCAGCACCTGAAAGACCATCAAGGCAGCACGAATAAATACGAGCCAAACAAAGACAATTAGACGGGAGAATATATATATATTTGGTTATGGCATACCTGGGTTGCGATCTAACTGAGTGGCAAGTCTGGTGTTGGAATGATCGACGCGCTTGGTGCTGCAAACAGGACAAATTGATATTATAACTGAACAATAACACTTTTATATTAATTATATATGTCATATTTGCACAGATTATTTGTATACTTGTAGTCTCTCTCCCAGAATTTGACAGGTCTGGTGTACGAGGTGACGAACACGGCACTGCCCAGGACAGGATTAAGAGGGGTGGAAAAGATGGCAGAAAAGATGGCCTGAACAAAAAGCACAGCAGAGTCTGAAGTCACGTGAGTTAAGGAAGTTAGGTGGTATAATACAGAGAAGTGAACATTACATAATCCAGGGTTCATACACTTTTCCATCAATGACTTCTCCATGACTTCTCCATGAGCTTTACCTAATTTTCCATGACCAAAAACATTACTCTTTCTCAGCGGTACCATTGAAAATGGTTTATTTTCACATGGAACAGGAAAATAAGGTCTGAAACATGTTGTGCCTCTAAAACAAATCAAATAGGCTTACTAGCTTCTACACGCTAAAGCAACTCAAATCTCTCACCAGCAAAACACCTCGTCAGTTAAATGTCATTTTACGTTTCATTACTATTAGGGCTGTCAAACGATTACACATTTTAATCAGATTAATCACAGCTTAAACATTAATTAATCATGATTAATCACCATTTGAACTATGTCAAAACTTGAAACTAGGTGTCGGCCGAGAGTCGCAACAGAATGTAGACCGTCCTCACCATCCAAGTAATGAGTGAAGGGACGGAGTCGAGGCATTCGTCGGACGGCACCAAGACGGGACCGAGTGGGACCGCGAGGCGGAGGTCTCTCATGTCAGTCAAACTTCAGGCTTCCAGTTCACAAACAACGAGAGATAGGTGCGAGTGTGTGTGTCTTTCTTCGTCTCCCTTGATATAATTTTATATTCTTATTTGGGATGACTATACAGCATGAGTTTCACAGGGTGTCTTCTTTTCGACGTACCTCGTATACTTTTTCGGTTCTAAAGATAAAGTTTTTGGGTGGATTGGAGTTAACAGACATCCCCTCGAAGTAGTCTAACGACTCAGTAAATAGAACTTGTATATTTTTGTCGACTTATAAGGCTGTCGCGACTATTTGACACTTGTTCTAGTCATTATAGTATATCGATTCATCGACCTAATATTAACTGTGTACGTTATCTGCGTGTCGTAAGCTCCACTTCTTCGATTACACAAAATCCACTTAATATTTTCATATAACGAGGCAGGGTCTACGACGGTGTTCTACCACCAAACTCTTTCGACATACCGGACCGGAAGTCACCACACCTCTTTATACAGTAACGATGTTGTTTGTCTCTGTTGAGGGACTGCTGTCTTCTGTGTTCTTGTTGGTGTTTCTCGACTGTAGATCGATTTTTTTTTGTTTTTTAGAGGCGTAGACAGCGTATGTTTACATGTGTTTGTTGTAGTATTGGAAAGGATGTGTGTAGGTGTGTCTTTGTGGTACAGACAACGATCTTGTAGTGTTGCTCAACTCTTAGCTGGCCGTGTGTTATATAGTTGTGTTGTTCTGTCTATCGAGCCTCTTCGTGTTCTATGTTGGATTTTATGTAAGAGAGTGTACCAAAAGGAAAAAGGAAGGGTAGAAGTGGAACATGGGTGGGTCAGACATAACATATCTACAGTCACATACATTACACCAGGTCAAAAGGTCAATTACGATGCGATGCACAAAACTAGAGGAGAGAGGGAGAGAGGAGGGTCGTCAGCTCGAGAGAAGTAGAGTCAACGGCCGTACTTCGACTACGCGGAGCAGCAAGACGCGGGGCAGCGTCGTCAATTGGCAGTGCGACACGAATGTGGTGTCGACAGAGAAGGCTAGCTGATAGGTGTGAAGCAGTCTTCTGGAGGATTAGCTGATGATGAAGTACAGTAAGAGAGTCGTTTCCAGTCCTCTAGGTACGCACGTTAATCGCGAATAGCGCAGAGTACAAGAATTGGCGAGGCTAAACCCACTGAGCACGTTAAACACCGCTACTTGGCTTCTCAAAAGCAAAACCCCCCTGTTGAAGGAGTAAGTTTTTTACAAATTCTTTAATCTGTTGCATTTCTATTTAGGGTGTTTCGCTCCACGACAAAGAGGATCGGTTCGCCGTCCAAGGAACTTGTGTTTGTGCTCGCATTTGCACAGTTGTGGCACCACATCACGACTGCCTCTGTCGTAAGCCTTGGTATCTAGCCTTGGTCGAGGTCGTGAATCTTGACGTGATGGGTATTCCTCGGCATGTGTGGCGTCACAAACGCACCCGACACAGACATCAACACTTCTGGGTCACCGCTAGACAACATAATCGTTAGACCAATCGATCGATACGACTGCTTAGAATTTCTCGAGAAAGATGTTGTCCACCCTTCTCTCGAGAGAGGACTCTCGGAGTTTATCCCAATCCGTGTGGAACGTATATAGTAATATCAATATGTTTTTATTCTCCGATTTACTTTTTGTCGCATAGTTTTACTGATATGCTAGGTCTTTGTTTTTTCAATAAATTTTATTGTTGTCTTATGTCAAACCTTTCCCCTCACTAACTCTTTAATATGGTATTTCTTTTTCTTAGACGAATGTCAACACAAGTATACCCACAACCCTCTCTACATAGGTATCCAGGGGATTACAACGAGGGTCACGTCTGTCTAACTACGAAAATTGAAGTTGTAAATTTTTGTTTAGAAGGGCTCTCCTCAATCTAGGTGGGGGGTGAATATACGTGACAGGGTTGTACCTATCTGCCTTTTGATTTCTGGTAAACGTGTGTAGAACACACAGATTAGAAAGAAAACCACCAGTAGCGGTGTTGGCACGTGCACGGTACGTATGACTCCAGTACCTTCTATAGACCTAATTCTCCCAACGAAAAAGGAAACGGTTGCGTACTTCTCTTTCCGGTTTACGTTACCCGACACTAAAACATATGAAAAAATTCGTCGTCCACTCAAGTTATTAATCATGCCGGGAGCGGTCCTACACATTTTTACTTTACCGCGGAACTCTCGCTTGTGTTCCAAGGGGTGAGGACGACATTAGTTATTATGTTTTGGGAAACTAAATATTGAACTTGTAAAGACAGAGGATAACTCAACTCATAAAAGTATCGTCTTATCGGTCAATTGCCACTTACCTAGCCAGTATCGTGTCTGGAAACAGTCTACCATGTTAATGCGACAAAAAAAGAATTCTTTAAACGTATCGAGTAAGACAATATACTAAATAACATAAGCTGGGAGATCTTCGGTCAATAAAATAGGTATAATCCGTAGAACAGTTTTCAATATTCTACATGACTACAGACACAGTCACGACACTTATCGTAAACACCTACAAACAAAAATTTCAGAAACATGAACAGTCTACACCCTGGACGACATCGTGTCGACGCCGAAGCACAAACTGATGTTAGCCGCGGGGACCGTCTAGTCGGACCCTCCGATGTCGGAAGGTGCCGGAGGCGTGTTTGGGAGCGGCAAGCGGCATAGGAAAACGAGTGGAAAACTCAAATGCAGGTTACCATTAGTCCCAAGAATGCCAGTAATGTTTGGACCTTTTCAGTACCTTTAAGTTTTACCATTAAGCGTCAGGACCTTTTACACACCTTTTTGTTATAAAAAGAATATTAGTTCATCATTATCATTATGATAGTTACTATTATATCTTATGACATAACATATCAGTTTAATTATCGACGTTGTTAATAGCGTAATTGCCGGCCATTACATAATGAAAAAAATTAATTAACGCAATTGTTATAAATTGCGTACGCCCGTCTTACCGGGCGCGGGGCGGTATTTGGGTAGGTGGTCACCGTCGCCGGTCCCATCACCCGACCCGATGGTGGGTATGGTTCTTACCCCGAATCGGGGTGGAACTTGTTTGTACTACAATTTCATTCGTTTTATTTCAGGACGGTTAGGCGTGCCTCATTTGTGTGTCTGTCCGTAATTCATTTGCTGACTAAAGCATGTCGGTGAAAGCGACTTTATCGGCTTCTGATTCTTTGCCAAAACTTTTTTGAAACAGTGCATCACTAGCAGAGAGTTTATCTTGTAGAAACTATTAGCAAGAAGACCGGGTTACGTCTTAAGTCGTCATTGCCGCAACCACAACAACGTCCTTCAGGACTCGCCTCTTTATGAAAACGACATCCTCGTGTAGAGATATATGTAGCTATGTCTGTAATGCAAAACTATCTTGCTGTACTTGGCAATTGCTGGTGGTGCCAAACTACTAACTATGTCCACAGCACCCGGACAGAAAGAAAACTGTGTGTCTTGTTACAATATTATTCTTGATATGTATGTATGTATTCACGACATACAATTTACCTATATAGGCGGAAGGAAAGGTTAAATAGAAAGAGTAAGCGTGTTCCGTTATTTGTATTTCTNCCATTTTACGTTTGATTACTATACCATACAGTATTTATTATCATTATAGTCTTACTATTGGCGATTAGATCAAATATAAATTATATTTGATGCAAATTTAGTTACATTTCGATGACTTTTCCAAAACCTTGGGAAAAATATAGTTTTCCATAACTTTTCCAGGGCCTGGAATTTGCATTTTTTATTTCCATGACTTTTCCAGGTTTTTAATGACCGTAAGAACCCTGAACATTGCAGACGGCTGATTGGTCAGAGGGAATCATCTCAAGCGTGTCATGTGCACAAATCACCTTTTTAAATATCAAAACCACTGTCCATAGCGTGAGCAATGTCTTTGTTCACTCTGATACACTCTGGCAGGAAAACTGTCAAAATAGAAATTGATTGATGAAGGTTAGATATTCCTCTGTTGCCGATGAAAGGATTCAGCGAGTGTCATGTTAAAGATAAGACAAGAGGCAACGTCAATGTTAAAGTGCCTTAAACCTGCATTCTCTCTGCTATCCAGCAGGGGGCGAGTCCTCTGATTGTATAGAAGTCTATGAGAAAATTACCCAACTTCTCACTTGATTATTACATCAGTAAACATTTTCCTGATGAGTTTATGGTCTCAATGTCTAGTGTCAAGTCTTCTGTATCGCAGCATGATGTTTATTTCGTAAATGATGATATTTAGTGTCAAATAGACGATGAAGCAGCGTATGTTTCAGGGCGGGGCTACCTTATGATTGACAGCTTTAAAACCTAAAATTATCTGTACACTTTTGGTAGCTTCAACATTCCTTCTTCAGTGTTTTCTCCACCTTCTCATGTCACTTAGTTGTACATTTAAATGTGGACGCATTGGGGAAGTAATAAGAACAAAGGCGACGATTATGAAGAAGGTTCAAATTCACAAACCGGTCATAAAGCAAAGAGATAAACGCAGATACAAAGAGGAAGAGGAGAATCTGTTACGTGGCTCTTACTCAGAACCCCATCCTGGTCCATGTGTTGTCTATTACCTCCTGCTTCTTTGTTTCTGCCCTACTTCCAGCGCACATACCCGCCGTGCCAACAACACAGCAGCCAAATTAATAGGAAATACACTCACACTCACACACACTGCGCTGAGAGCCAGCATCCCTGCTCCCAGCTGGCGTGAGTACAACACACTGTTGCTTATCCACAGAGCTTCCACCAGAGGCTATTTTCCAATCAAATCAAAAGGAGGGTTTAGCAGGTAGGCCGGGTCTTTGTCTGCGCGCTGCATGGATGAAACGGACACTATGAGAACGTCCTCGCTGCTTTCTGAGACGCTTTAATCCACTGGCACTGTAATCCGCAACATAATTACATTACAAAAACAAAAGATGCTAATCAGACAGGGAGATTATTATCAAATTACAACAAAACAATGAAAGCTGCAGATCTCGTTTGTTGTCGAGTGCGGACACAAAGCGGCACATTACGTGTCCGGAGGGAAAGCAGACAAGTGCATTTCTTGGCACAAACGTAAAAAAATCTAGTGGTTGAGCCCGAAAAAACAAATAAGAACATGGCTCTTTAGGCGAAGAGAGGTTCTCGTTACAAACCCACATGATATGAAACATCCCCTCCATACAACACATATTGTCCGCAAGTCTCAATTACAGCATGAATTTCTCCACACACACACACACACACACACACACACACACACACACACACACACACACACACACACACACACACACACACACACACACACACACACACACACACACACGCTATCTCTCTCTCAAACACACACACACTCTCTCTACACACACACACACACACACACACACACACACACACACACACACACACACACACACACACACACACACACACACACACACACACACACACACACACACAGGAAGGCTCAGCGCAATAACAAAGGCCTTTCAAAGAAACCCTCAGCAGGTTAAGATCAAATGTTTTCGCTCAAACTGATAAAAAGCATCTGCAGCTGAGATATCCGTGTGTGAGTCGGTATGCAGCGCAGCACGCCCGGCACTGATTAAAACAGACACACACACAGCGCCAGCATAGAGTGTGTGTGTTTCTGCTCAGTGTGTGTGTGTGGTAATGACAGAAGCACCTGTGAGGTTTAGTTCCAGCTCTAAATCTACGATCTGCCAATACTGTCCGCACGAAGAATAGGAAACGGATCGAGTGTTATCGAGCAGTTTCCACTTTAGTCCACTTGTACTGGAGGAGTGTTGCTTTCATTACTCTCTACTGTTGGGAAGTCTCCTCCTAACTAACCATTACTTACATACATATACATATGAGGATTATTATCTAGAACAATCCTTTAGTAGGTAGAGAAACATTTACATAAAAGTTTCTCAAAATAGAAGGTAATGTCTATAAATATCTTGTTTTGTCTGAAACCCAAATATGTTCACTTTATTTTGATTTAAAACAGAAAAGCAGCAAATCTGCATATTTGAGAACAGCCATTTCTGACATTATTGCATGAAAAAGGAAAAATAGTAGGAGATTATTTTCAGAAATGCATTAGTTTTCTACTTGCTGCAGCCCTGTTCTTCACCTCAAATCGCTTTAATCTGCAGATTATTTCCTAATTAATCGTTTGGTGGCCTGAAAATAGTAAAAATATCCATCCCAGTTTCTCAAAGTAGAAGTAAATGTCTTCAAATATCTTATATACAACTAGTTTGAGATTTTATTTACTAATTGCTGCAGCATTATTCTCCGCCTTCAATCAGCTGTACTTGCTGTGTGTGTGTGTGTGTGTGTGTGTGTGTGTGTGTGTGTGTGTGTGTGTGTGTGTGTGTGTGTGTGTGTGTGTGCGTGCGTGCGTGCGTGCGTGCGTGTGTGCGTGCGTGCGTGTGTGTGTGTGTGTGTGTGTGTGTGTGTGTGTGTGTGTGTGTGTGTGTGTGTGTGTGTGTGTGTGTGTGTGTGTGTGTGTGTGTGTGTGTGTGTGTGTGTGTTTACGTGCAGCCGTTCTTTCTCCATAACCAATTTATGCACGGTCATGCTAACATCTGTTCTGCCGATTCAGCAACTTCTGTACTTCGAATTATGACTTTTATTAGCTAATTTATGGCGGGTAGAAATGAAACACGAGCCTGCATTCCACGAGTGGGATAAACATGGATATGGAAACAATTGAAGGCCTCCCTGATAGAGGAATGTGCAAAAAGAAAAGTCAGCTTTTAATCAACGAAGGTCTCACTCTCCTAATTGGAGTAATCATAACATTATGCAAATTATAATCTGGGGTTACATTAGTGAGTATATTGCTGAGATATTCATAAGAAGACTGAGGAAACGTTGTGCACATGACTCCTTTTAATCAAAATGTACACTTTGGATATTTAAAAAAACTTAAATCTATCAACCCCTACTTGTAATAGCTTCTAGATAACTGTATTTAATAAAAGGTGGTTATTCTACATAATGAGTACTTTAAGGACTTTTTTATGCTTATAATTCTGTGAAAACGTCGGTAAAAGTTTTTGTACGTGCTTCTAAAAATGTTTATTAAGCCAGTTTATAAGATGTAGAATTAGTGCTATATAATGCTTTAAAACTATATATTTGAATGCACTTCTATACAAGCTTTTGAGACATTCGATTCTATATGGATGTTTTGGTTTCATGTGATATCCTTAGCATCACGGTAGCTTATAAAAAGAGTTGGCTGCAGCATTTGGGAAAACAGTAAAGTGAATTGTGTCTGTGTGTGTCTGTTCCTCACAGAAAAAACTGACAGAACTTTGGACCGTCTTTCAAAGCACTTCCAGACGAGCTAGTGTGACGATTTTGATAGAAACGGATTCCTTGGATTTTATAGTTTCGTGTAATTTAAAGCCAACTTAACTTATCAGAAATCTGCCTTCTCGACAAGCTATCGAGACGCGGTTGGTATCGAAGGATTAGTTGGATTTCATAGTTTTGTGTCATTTAAGGCCAACTTAAAGGGGACCTATCATGAAAAATGCAATTTGTGATGTCTTTTATACATCAATATGTGGAAGGGCAACAGCAGAAGGACTGAGCGACACACTTACCCAAGGTCAGCGTCATGGGCGGTCATTCGCGGGCCATTCCCCCCCCAAATTAGTCACTGTGCCCCCCCAACGCAGGGTGGGCAAGCCTTGCCACTTTACCGTTTTTTT